AGGAGGGTTGGACTGGGTGACCCACAGAGGTCCCTTCCAACCCCTACTATTCTGTGATTCTGTGATTTTCATTGACCAAGTAAACGAGCAGCGACTCCTTTGGGTTTAGCAAAAGTTTGAGCCATGGGTTCCTTTCCTCCTCCCCTGCCCGCCCATCCACAACAGGAAGGTCAATGCCAAGGGTCTGAGGGTGGTCTTCAGCCCCTGCTCCCTGCAGAGGAGATGCTGGGCTGCTCCCTGGAGCTCTCCTGGGGCAGCCATGCAGGAAATGTTCCGTGTGCCTTTGAGGGGAGAGACCAGAGGTGTGAAGAACACGGCAGAGAAGAGGCTGCCTCTTCGTCTGCAGTGCAGGAGCAACTGCCTGGATTCTTTGGAAAATAATATTTCACTGCAGCTGTGATATTTATCTCCCTCAAGTTTTACTGTGTTAAGAATTGTCTCGTTTAAAGGCTGTGGGGTTTTTTACTTTGTGTTGGTTTTTTTTATTTAATTTTGTCATCTTTCTTTGTTGGCCGTACGTCTACTGATGAATTTGACTTTATCAGAAAAGCAGCTTTCTTGTGGCTTTAGGAAGTGAAGTGGAATTGCTCGAGGGGAATTTCCTTCCTGATTATGCTGTGTATCCTGTTGTGTGTGTGAGGTAGATGTCTGAGGCAGATGGTGGCATGTCGTTCTGCAAACTGTGATGTTTACCACCCGCATATTCATGAATTTTTCAAAATCTGAAATTTCTTGGAGGATCTCATGTAAAGTTTGGGGTAGAAATATGGAAAGTGTACTTACCTTGCTTCTTGAGAGATGTAGAATCTCTGTCTTAGAAAGTGTAGCCTAGCCCTGAAGTATTAAGGTTGCCCTGATATTTCTGTCCAGCCCCTCCACCCGCCCCGCGGTGGTTGCGCTGAGGGGACCTCCAGGTCACACCGCGCTCCCGTCACCTCTCCTCTGCCGTAGCTGATCTGTGCGTGCCAGGGGAGAGGGACGGAGGGCTGAATCCCTCTCAGCCATCGGTGAGCTCTCCATTTGGGTTACAGGCTGCTGCGTGCTGTGCGAAGGGTGATATGAAAGAGAACAGAAGAAGCGGCCTTCAATTTGTATATGAATTAAAAATTCTCGCTATGCAGACTTTGGTCAATGTGTATATAGGTATGGTTGTTTCTCTGTTTTTAGGAATACACCATAGATATAATTTTTGCCCAGACATGGTATGACAGCCGTCTAAAATTTAACAGCTCCATGAAAGTGCTGATGCTTAACAGCAACATGGTCGGGAAAATCTGGATTCCAGACACTTTCTTCCGGAACTCAAGGAAGTCTGATGCGCACTGGATTACAACTCCCAACCGTTTGCTTCGAATCTGGAGTGATGGAAGAGTACTATACACTCTAAGGTGGGTTTTTATTAACTGGGTAGGAAAAAAATCTAAACTGTAATGACCAGCAGTATGAAAATAATGAATATGAATCAAAGCTTTGGCGTCTCTTTTGTTGTGGACCACAGGAATTTGCAAGGACTTTTCTAAAGGAGGAAAAAGAAAGATTTGATCATTAAAAACATGAAATCAATAACTGTGAAATATATTGCCTAGACATTTAGGTAAAGACAGTTGAAGGGGATAGCAAATTTTAATCTCATTTACATACAGACATTATTTAAAAAAAAAGTTATGTAGCCCATAGCATGATGTGGTGGTCTTTCACTAACATACTGCAGATCTAGTCATAAATTGTTTTGCAGACTTTCTGTTTTAAATAGTTTGGTATCTCTTTCCCACCAAATTATATTCTATAAATAGAAGACTAAATGCCTCAGATAATATGAAGTTTGATTAAAGCTAAGGCCCCAGTCCTGCATGTACTTCTTCACATATTTACCCTTGGAGGCTATTAAAATCAACGTTCATTCAAACCAGGCACAAGCAGACATGTCGGTGATAATTCTTCTTGGCAGGTGGGGGGTGCTCGGGCTGGTTTTAAGCTTGCCACCCGGGCTGTCTGTGCCGATCTTTCAGACACTTATTAAACAGTTCTTGAAAGTCTTCAAAGTTCTGGTCGTCTACAGAAAGCATTTTAGGGTCATCTCTCGGTTTTATTTTTTTTAAGTATACCTAAAAAATCTTGCAATAAATTCGGAGCTGATCAGGAAGCCGTCCAGATAGAGGATGCCATAAATCTGATTCTGTTCCTGTTTGTTTATTTATTTATTTATTTTATACAAGAAGTAGCAACTTTTAATGACTTTCAGTCATTTACACTGTTTTCACATGCAGGCTAGCTGCGTTGTATGAACAGTTTGTAAAAGTCTTCTGTATCAGAAGTAAGAAGAGTAATTCTAGATTTCTTAATATGTTTGATTTGAGAGCGTACAAATATCTCTAAAGAGCACTTTTTAAACAGTTTATGCTGGTGTTTATAAAAATCTCCAGAGAGCCTCTTCTGTTAACATGGGGGTGTTTGAGCAGGTTTTTTATAGCTAGCAATTCGAGAATCATGCTTGGACTTTACTCTTCCGTTGTCCATTCGGTTTCAACGTACAATTTCTTCTAAATTTGGTCTAAGTAAAACAAAGAAACAAGCAAAAGGAACCAAAAAGCCCATGTGAACCCTCCCAGAGCAATAGGTTAGAACAGTTGTGCTGGAGGAGGAGCTCTGAAGCGTGCAAAGGTAGTGATGAAGCAGCAGAGTGGGTATTCCTCACCCAGCCCTGCCACAGCCAGACCTCCGTCCAGGGGAGGGGATCCAGTTGTGTTGCTTTTGATAGAAGTCTGGCTTTGTTTTCTTTTTCTTTAAGTGTTTGGCCATCCAAATGTTGAAAATGGAAAACGAAGGCGATAAATACATATGCCACAGTTGGCAAATTGTAAAGTATCTTCAGAGGGATGCAAGCATTTTAGTTGAAAATCTGTGTGTGGGGAGTTCTCATTTTTTTAACAAGACATACACTTTCCCTTATAAACCTCCCTCTTGGCCAGGACAGACTTCTAGAAAGGTCCTGGTGAAGCTTTGTGTAGAAGAACTACTTTGTTCACAGACTTACAGGTCTTTCTGGCAGCGCGAGGCAGTCTTCCTTTCCCCATTTTTTTTTTTGTCTAGCATGTAAGTACTGCATACAGTCCAGTATGCAGACGTGATCTTGATTTTCAGAGTTGATTTTAGAAGACTTTCTGACTTGCTTCACTGTGTTACCAGGAAAGGAGGAGCTCCTTTAAATGCGAAGAGGGCAGGTTGGAGCCTGACCCCTTACTCAGGCTTCCTAGAGAAAGGTAGCAGAACTGGGTTTTGCGTGGGTTGCTTAGAAGTTCTTTGGAAATCTCTGGTAGTATTTTCAAAAGCAACAAGTGATTCAGTTGATACGAGTCCCAAACTACTTCTGAAATGTGTATTAGCTGCCTGAGTTGCTTGAGCGCCTTAGACATTAACTGAGTAGAAATATGAAGTCTGGTCTTTCCTATCCATGCTGTCTTCAGCAGAGCTGCTTCCCTCGGTACAGAGCAAGCCCAAGAGTGTCCCCACTTTCTCTCTCATGTATATAGGCACCAGATACGATGACACCAAATGCAGTTTGACTCGACAAATGTGTTCTGCAGAAGCTTCCTCTGTATGCTGTCATAAACTCCTCTCCTTGTCCTGCCTTCGGTCCTTCCCTTTTATCCCCTGTTTTTGGTAAGGAGCTGAGAGATCCCCCCAAATCAACTGAAAATTCTGACACTGCTTGAAATGCCCATTGAGACAGCGCAGGTCCTCAGGCTGCGTACGGTGACGGCTGGCGTTCTTTGTGGTGGTGTGGGATGGTCCTTGCTGATACACAGCTGGCTGTCTGTAACATCCTTTAATCGGCAAAATTGATGTCTGCGAATGTTCTTTACTCTCTAGTCTGAAGCGTCTGGATGCTTGAATGTAATCTTTTTTCCTTTTTTTCTTTTTTTCCCTCTTCCTTTTCTAATTAGGCTGACAATTAATGCTGAATGCTACCTTCAGCTTCATAACTTCCCGATGGATGAACACTCCTGTCCACTGGAGTTCTCAAGCTGTAGGTGGTAAAACTTTTTTTTTCTCCTTTACATTCAGGCTTTAAATTTCCTTAAATTCTGGCAGCAAGAGAACAAGTGTTTATTTTTTAAAGCCTTGTAGTGAAGGAAAGAACTGACCTGTTTATGTTTTGATTAGATTTATTGCATTTTTAAATACATTATGAATGCATTTGCACATTATGAATGAAGGAGTTGAATTACATGCATTTCATTTGGTTGCAACTTTAAATATAATCGTATTGCTTAGAAGTCTGATCCAATGCCCATTCCCGTTAATGGAAATCTATTGCCCTGGAAGAACTTTATTTTTCATGCCTGCCAGACTTGCCAGCATTGAATTAGTTCCATGTGGTACACTTCATAGGAAGAATAAGATCTGTCGTCTTCAACCTGTTCCTGTAAATGCTTAATCAGCATAAGAAGTCCTTCTCCTTTCAGTGAGGCTTATTCATGAGAGCAAGAAACACAACTTTCAGGCTTCATTTCTTTACTATACAAAAAAAACCAAGTTCCTAAGGCAATTGAGCCATTACTGGCAAAAGAAACCCAAACCACCTGAACACGGATTAATGACTTATTCCTCAATGTGAAACCTAATAGGCAGTGAAATCAAACTTCAGTGATTCTTTTCAAATTAATGTTTTCCTTTAGTACTTCCTTCTGGAGTGCTTCTAGCTGAATGAGCTTTGGTAACTCCGTTGATTCCATGGCTGTGCCACGTGGGCGAGCCTAGCTCAGTTTGATTTCTGCCTTTCTGCAAGGTGATGTGGGGCAACATGTGAGGCACATGAAAATCGAGAAGGCTCCAATTCCTTGAAGTTTAAGTGCTTGGCAGGGAATCAGGCCACAAAAATCCATTCTGGGAGTAACGGACAAATTTCAATAAATATCAATAGGAATTTTATCAAATTATGTGTTAATAAATTTCTGTCCATTGAAGTTTTTGTCATCATTTAATGATATTGTATAGAACATTTGTGTATTAATTCCTAGTGATGATTCTGAGCCAGTTTTTCGTATCTGAGTTCCCAAATATTGTGTAGATATTTCCTGAACATTCGTATTTACATAGTTTTTGGTTCATTGTACACTTAGCTAGGCTTATAACTGAGGCTGGGTGTTTTGTGGTTAAATTTGAAGTGTATCACGTGGACTACATGTTGGCTTTCTCTCTGGTCCACTTTATATGTAGCACTGGATTAGTTTATAAACCCCTTCAGAGATCCCAAAACATGCTTTGGTATATGCTGCGGCCGAACGCTTGATTTGCTCTGCTTTATTCTAGATGGATATCCCAGAAATGAAATTGAATACAAGTGGAAGAAAACCTCTGTCGAAGTGGCGGATCCAAAATACTGGAGACTGTATCAGTTTGCGTTTGTAGGGCTGCGAAACACAACTGAGATTTCTCATACTTTGTCTGGTAAGGCAAAGTGCTAAGTTTTATTTCATTTAATATCTATGTAAACAAGACTAATAGATGAAGATACAACTGAGAACGTTTTCAGTGTCATATAAGCTTTTTTTTCTTTTTTTTTAATTTATAGGTGATTATATTATTATGACCATCTTCTTTGATCTCAGCAGACGTATGGGATATTTTACTATCCAGACATACATTCCTTGTATACTCACAGTTGTTCTTTCATGGGTGTCATTTTGGATCAATAAGGACGCAGTTCCTGCAAGGACTTCTCTGGGTAAGAATGTCTTTTTTCAACCTTGAAGGGTCTGGTACTCTCCAGGAATACAAATCTGCAGCAGGGAGTAAATGAACCACATCTCATCCCCCTTCGGATTGTGACCATTGATCACCCTTTCTCCCGAACTGCAAGATTCAGAGTAGGAGGATCCTGCTGTGGTTGCACAGCAGGGCTTAGGGAGGGAGTACTGACAATGGAAATCTGGAAAAAAATCCCGATCCAAGCCTTGTGGATCTGCTGTTGCTCATGTAAATACATTTTTTCTCCTTTACATTCTTTTTCTCATCTCCAGGGACGGCAGTATGGCAGTCATTAGTCTGACAAGTATGATGAAACTTCACTCAGCGTTGTGGAACAAAGGGATGTCATTGCTACAGGCGACAGTCGTGAAGATCCGTGTTGGGGTTTTTTTGTTGTTGGCTTTTTTGTTTGGTTTTGCTACTTTTTCATTGTTGTTGTTGGGTTTTTTTACTAATAGAAATGATTCAGCTGTTCTTTTAAGCCCAGGATAGGACAGAGAACTTGCAACCAAAGTTGCAGTTAAGCACAGAACTCACAAAACCTGACTCGCTGTCCTGCTTTTACTACCGACAGTACTGAAGCGTGTTGCAGGTGCCACAGAGAGGATTCTGTGTGAGTGTCCTCTTGGCTGACCTGACACCATGGTGTCAGTCTCCTGCTTTTGGCTGGTGAGGATTCATGCGCTGCCTTGGAGAAGGGTCATGGCCCCCACCTAAAGCGGGACAGACAGGGGTGCCTGGAGTGTGCAGGACTCACCCCAGCAGCTTCGAGCTTAGCAGCAATAGATGCTTTTATTAAAACTGGTGGTATCACCTATTCTGGGGGGAAGATCAGGAGCTGAGGGTGTATCTTAGGAAGTGAGAGATGTGAGTTACTTTTCCCCATCAGTGTACACAACAGGGAACACACCGTCCCCACGTCCCAGCAGCGTTTCCTACCAGAAGGGTGAGTCCGGGCTGTGACTCCCTGCCTTTCCCACCGAAACTGGGCCACTGTGCAGTCAAGGCTGCAAAATTCAGGAGTCCAGAAAGAAAGTGAGAAAAAAGGAGTACGGCTCATTAGCCCAGTGCAAAGGTAAAGGAAGAAAATCTGAGTCTTGGATCTTGCCTTCATGCTATTTAAAAATACTGCAAAGTTTAGTGAAGAGAGCCTAAAATCTTGAAAAAAATTAATAGAACTCTCTCTCGGTAGTTTCAAATCTTGATATAGAAATTTATGAGAAGATTTCATTGACTGACTAATCGTTGGACATCTTTGTGGGTACTGTCTGGAAAGACACTAGCTATAACAGGAAAACCTGTTGTATTGGTCTCCTGCTAGTTCTGTACCCAGTTTGTTCTTTTTACAGAGTCACAGAATCACAGACTAGTTGGGGTTGGCAGGGACCTCTGTGGGTCATCCAGTCCAACCCCCTGCAGAAGCAGGGTCACCAACAGTAGGCTGTAGAGGACCTTGTCCAGGTGGGGCTTGAATATCTCCAGAGAAGGAGACTCCACAGCCTCCCTGGGCAGCCTGTTCCAGTGCTCCGTCACCCTCAGAGGGAAGAAGTTCTTCCAGAGTACTTCTGTGCCTCAAGCCTATCAAATTTGCCTTTGATCTCATGGTTAAGCTGGAGTTTTCGTGTTCCCACTTCAGCAGTGCTAACCTTCAGCTGCTGGAGACGTACTACAGACAGTTGCAATGTCGCATTTACAGCTCCCCGCCGCTAACTCTGAGCTCCTTTTCTGTAAACACGCAGGAGCCATCGTCTGACAGATTTTGGGACGGCTTTTTGCCCACGCAGGTGTTCTGGTGAAGAAAGAGAATACCAGTCAAACAGACACAGTTTTATAGAAAAAGACTGAGAAATTAAGATGAGAAAGCCAAAACTAAGCAGGGTCCACCGTGGCAGGCGGTCGTGATGCTGTGGGAGGCTGGCTCCCTGTGACAGCCCCCCAGACGCCTTTGACGTGGTGGAGAGGACTGGGAGAGTCCCTGTCTCCATCTCTCCTCTCTGAGCAGAAGTGGGTGAGGGGGATGGTGGGGCCACCTCCCATCTGGAGGCTGAGCTGGGTCTGGTACACCGGGAAGGCTGGGGCCTTTTTCTTCTGTGTACCTTGAAAGATTCTGGTGGATCATGGTTTCCCAGAGCGAAAGGTTTGGGGTGTTTAAAGGTATTTAGATATTTAGTTATGCAGAGAAATGCCTAATCAATTTTCAAAAGCGTCTAGCGGGAGTGAAGCGCTTCTGAAAAACTCCGTGGCTGTCTGTTTGCCCTTTTAGGCATGTCATTTCACCGGGAAATCTGCTGCAAAATCACCACGGCTTTCCTGCTGCAGGATCAGTCCACAGGGAGCCGTGACTCCAGGCTTTGATTAAAAAGCCGTAGACAGCCTGAGACCATTTTTTGCAATACGCCGGTGCATGTCAATAACAAATTATTGGTGTGTTCAAGTATTGCTCTCCAAAGGAAAGGTCACATCTTCGTTTTGGACTGCTATGAAAAAGGCTTTGCATGTCCCTAAAGCATCAAATCTAAGAAGAAAGCGTTAACACCTTCTCAATGTTAAACAGTTGAAGAGTGGTGTAGTTGAGATTCCGAGCACATCGCTATTAAGGGCAGCTTGATCTTTTAATTAACTTGTATGTAAGTGAATCAAGGGAAGCATTTTCTATTACTGAAGGCGCAGTATTGAAAACATACCCGGTAACGCAGAATGACACCAGAAAGGTCATGAAGGTCGTCTAGGTTGACCTGCTACATGTCAGACGCAAAAAACATCATTCCCTTTTCTCATGTTTTCTGAAAGTTTGAAATAATTGGTAAATAACACACCCTTTTTTCTGAATGTGTCTTTTTGTACATCGCAATCCTTCAAAAGCCAAAGGACGTTGTTTGTGTTTATAAAATTTGTGTTCTTATTTGTACCAGTTTGTTGTATTTGTTTTACGTGTGCGTTTTATAACAGATTTTAAGAAATCACACAAACTTTCTCCAGCTCTTTGTTCATTCAGCGGGCGTTGAAAACGGGAGGGATTTACACCGCCAGCGGATGTGCTGCCTCCCGTACGATCCCACGGTGGCCGCTGGATCCATAGGGACGGCTTCCTGCAGTAGCACCGATGGTGTGGGTGGGATCTGCGGGGAACCCTGCGGTGGCTCGTTCTTGTGATGCCTCGCGAGTGACTCACGGGCTAATTTGAGGATCTGTTTTTTTCTTGGTGACCGTATGATCGTATTCCCTCTTCCCTTCGTTCTCGTGCAGGCATTACAACGGTGCTGACCATGACAACGTTGAGTACAATCGCTAGGAAGTCGCTCCCAAAGGTCTCCTACGTGACAGCAATGGACCTTTTTGTGTCGGTTTGCTTCATTTTTGTGTTTGCTGCCTTGATGGAATATGGCACCTTGCATTACTTTACCAGCAACAGAAAAGGGGACAAAGGAAAAGAAAAGAAGGCAAAATCTAAGCCATCGGTAAGTTTAGCCAAACAAAATGGAAAAAAAAATGCAGCATGCTCTTTATTGTAACATTAATTTGGAGAGACTCATTCTTAGGTAGAAGAGCTAATGTTCAAAGATAATTAACACTGATATTTTTTTTATCATTTTTTTAGAGTTGGGGTTTTTTATTGATTTTCTGTAAATACTACTAATGAACAAAGTTTTGAAATCATTCCACTCATGTGAATGAGAACACGCGAGCCTAAGCTAGAGGGTGATTTACTATAATATTCCGTGCTTCCACGCCATGCCCAAGCTGTTGGTGCTTCTAGAGCTGCCCGTGGAGCGTGTGCCCATGGAGACAGCTCTGTCCGGGCACAGCACCTGGCAAAGAACCACAGGCAAGGCTGTAGCAGCAGAGAGGATGTGAACGGACTGAAGGTGTGAGGGTTTGTTGGGGTCTGCATCACCAGCCTTGGGTCTCACCTCCCTAGCTTTGCGAATAAAAAAGTGCTTAGTCCTGGGCAGTATTTTGACTCCCTTGCGCTTCAGAAATTCTACTTTAACTCTTTTCTTTTTTCTTTTTTTTTGTGTTTCTTTGTGGTAAAATGAACCTTTTCCTTTTGCAAGGCGATGTTTGTATGGTGTAAATCATCACATATCCCACGAACAAGTATTATTCGATTTTAAGAGGCATTCTGTTCGTGTAGCAAGAATTCTGGCACTTCCAAAGAATTCATTGTTGGAAGCCAGCGCAAATATTTAAACCTAATCTTTAAATTAATAAAACATTGAGGTACAGTCATTAAATAGCTTATTCATTCAAACATTAGTCTTAATATCTGAGGCTTGATTGTAGTAATCTTTTGGAGATAATATGAGGCAGGACAATGTTGTAAAGACCCCTTCCAGATCACTTCATCAAAGGAAGTTGGAGGGTAGGTGAATCGTGACATCAGTGGTCTTTTCTGGGTGAAGGGTGAATACCACCTGTGTGAGATCAAACAGAAATTTAAATGAAATTACAGAAGCCCAGATACGGAGATGCAGAAATCCTGTTACGAACTGTGTCCATTCCACGACTGGCATCGGAAAGCGGCTGCTAGGGCTGAATACCCTAGAGAGCTGCGAGCCCTCACGTTTTGTACGGTGAGCTGGTCGGAGTGCACCCGAGTTATGATTCAACCAGGCTGCCCAGGGTGGTGGTGGAGTCTCCACCCCTGTAGAGGTTCAAAAACCGTGTGGATATAGCACTTCAGGACATGGTTTAGCAGGCATGGGGGTGATGGGTTGACAGCTGGACTTGATGATCTCAGAGGTCTTTTCCAACCTGAATGATTTTAAGATTGTGTGATTCATCAGCTGTGTGTTTAGGGCAAGGCTGGTGGTGAAGGGTGAATGCTACCCTGTGCTGCCTTGGTTGGACATCGCTGGGATCCCCAGGGAATCCAACACAGCCCAGAGAGAGAACTGGAAAATGGAAATCTCAGACCTCCATCCTGTTAGTGGTAGAAGCAAACGTGGGCACAGGGGAGAGGATGGAAAATGGGCTTTAGCAAGGGCTGCTGCTGAGCAATGTGGGTAGAAGACACCAGAGGCTGCAGGACCTGGGGGACTTCCAGCGCTAGCGTAATAGATTCCAGCTTAGGTTCTTGCTGCAGTGAGGTCTCAACAACACATGGGGAAGAGGGAGCTGAAATAGGTCTGCTTTCACCATGCACAACAAGAGAAAAATGAAGAGGGGAGGAAATATCTCCTTCTTCGGATCAAGAGCCACTGAAGTGGCAATTAGTGGCTGGAGTAACGAGGCTTTCCAGAATCTGCTCACCCATCAGCCGTTTGCACAGGAATTGGCCAAATGCTTGGAGATTTTCCGTGTGTATGATAATTTAAAACGTAGAATAATGGTGAGATAGAAACTATGACACTCACTGAATAAACAGCTGGAGTTTGGACTAAGATTAAAATTAGCAATACAATATTCAGAACTGTTCAGCTGTGTTTTACTGTGTTTTTGACACATGATCTTTATTTCTAAGTATTTGAAAAACAACCATCCTTTCACACAGAATTTTTAAACATGTTGCAGCATGTTATGGCTATAAGACCATACTAGGTAAGAGATTACTCTGAAAAAAGGAGGGGATTAAATTTAATATACTCGTATGCAAGGATTCTAATTTGATAATAGGGGTTTTTTGGTGAAGCTTTATAAACACCTATAAAATTTTTTGTTCCAAATAGCACAATTAAATACACCATCAGATTAATTAATGAGAAGCTGTACAATTACAGATCCATATTTTTCTTTTTCTTTTTTTTTTCCTTTATCGTTGTCGAAGATTGTTATTCATTCTTCTGGTGTTGTAGTTATGGATATGTAACTCAAAAAAACAATTTAATTAGAATAGTCAGTTTAATTCCTTCTGAAAAGTTGTCATTTACAGGTGTTTTTTCCTTGGAAAATTTACCTTGTGTAGGTCTTCTGTTTCTATTGCAAAATGCAATAAAAGCTTATTATTCCAGGAAATGATGCCAAGAAGGAGCAATAAATGACCTTGTGAGAAAATGGTGAGATTGTACAAATGATTACAGCAGTTTCACCTTACAAAATATGTGCTGGCATTATTTGAGACAGGGAGGGTGAATTGGCTTCTGTAAATCCACATGAGTCATGATAATTAGTTTGAGCAGGAAAGATTAAACTTAATTAGTTGAGGATCTTGTTCTGATCATCATTTCACCTGAAGTGAATGCAGCTCCTGTGCCGTGATCTCCACAGACGATGGCTTTCTGTTCTACTGGTGTTAGTGTTCGTGGAGAATAATTTGGGTTTGGCCCTACCAGAGCATACTATAAATGATTCTCACTAGAAGTGGACTTTTATCTACAATATCCATGGGCATGTACATGAACAATCAGCATGTGCTACTCTATCTACGTGGGTTTTTTTGGGTTTTGGGGGGTTTTTTATTTGTTGGTTGGTTTGTTTGTTTTTTAAAGTCTCTGTCAATTGATACAAGGTCATTTTCTTGTGAGGCATTGGTCTTTTTTCCCCTTTTGCCTCAGGTTGTCTCTTTTTTACACACATTTTATGCGTTCCCTGGAGGTAGTTATGCCTCTAAGATGGCACTGTCATTCTGCCTCTCTCAGGCCACCTCTTCCAACCCGTAATTCAGTGACCAGCTTCAGTCTGTGCTGGGGACATGAGCAGTGAGCAACAGTACTGTTGTTCTTAACTCCTCTCGTGGTGTTTCTGAGGTGGGGGTTCCTGTTTTACCCCCCTAGCAGGAACGAATCGTGCCATGGATCTCATGTTGGCAGAACCGACGGTCAGAAAATTCTTGTCAAGCCAGAGCAGGAGTGAATCAGAAATAAACACCTTTCCCTATGTATCTTCAACAAACTAATGAGTTCTTGAGTTCAAAAAAAGAAAAAAAATTGAACTTACTGTGTGTGTTTTATGAAAATAAGCCCTGTTTGTAATGCCTCAAATTAGGGTAGAAGCATCTAACTGCTGTTAGTTAGTGATGTCAGTATTTTAACATAACTGAAAGGAATAATGAGGTCCTTTAGGATGATAATTAGCTCCCTAGGTCATCATGTCTAAAAAGTGTTGGAGCAGCAGTCTGTGTGAGACTTCCTCTGGTAAAGACACTTATTAAATCAATCTATTCGAAGACCTGGTGGATGCTGCACTGCTTTACCACCCCCCCCTTGCGACACTGGGCAGCAAGGGAGTGCCTCCTCTACAACCCAGAGACCTGCCTGCTGGCCAAGGTGACTCCCTGCCATTGGGACAACCGGACTCTAAAACATAACAAGAATCTGGATGATGTGGCTGTCTGCTTTTTGTATTTTTTTCATATTTTTTCATTACCTCTCATGTATAATTGTTTAAGAGAGACGCTTCTCTACACTGCAATACCCAGTTAGTTCTTCTGACTCCATCCTTTCATGTTATATTTTTCCTTACACAACAAAAGGTGGAAATGGTAGAAAAGAGAGAAGACAATGTGAGAATAATGTTGATGTAGCCCCTATCTTCAGTCTGAAGATTTTAGAAGAGATACCGTGTTGAAAGAAAGGTGATTAAGGAGTAGTTTAAAAAGGCTGTGAGATTTAGGAAGAGGACAGATAGAGAATATCTTTTGAAATATTCAGGAAAACAAGGATGAAGAGTGAAGAACTGTGTGGAAAAAAAAAAATAAAAGGAGGAAAGATGGGCTGTGGTCCTGCAAGTAAAAGGAAGGCGAAAAGGCAAAAGTCCCAAGAGGGGAATGGCCATCAGTGTATGTACTGGGCAACAAAGCATCCATATTTCTTCTGTGAAAATTATTTATGAACCTTAACATCTATTTCACTGAGGTTTTACCAGATTTCAAGAGGATGGAGTTATGCCCACGGAAATTAAAAGTAAGAATGAAGAGCTGAATTAAGCAGTTTCACTGACTTGAATGTCACTCTCCTAATGAGTTTTATGTGTTGGTGTCTAAGGCAGGGCATATGGTTTAGGGATTTAACATCAGAGGGTTGTACAATGTAGCTTGGCCTGATGTGTCTCAGTCTCTTCAACTTCACCGGTGATGCTGTAATAATTCCACTAGCTTTTCGTTTTGGTGAAGATGCAGCTTCCACAAGCACATCCAGGCTCGTTCCACAGAGTCCAAATGATGGGAGAACCACCACTCCCTTGGCAGTGATGCTTATAGCCTGCTCGTGGGCTTGCTTGTGACCCAGATGTCAAGCTGTCACTGACTTCCAAAAGTTCGTTTGTGTTGTGTAGGTGGGTTCAGCTAACCCTGTCCGTGTAACTAATTATCCACTGTTCCCTAATCCCAGCACAACCCAGGTTTCCCTGTGGCAGGTGAAAATCATTCATGATCTTTTACCTGCACGAGCTAATGATGTACAGCAGTTCATAATTCACAAAGCTCCCCAGACTGTTTTCTTTAATATTAGAATTTCTGTGTACTGAATGTGCTAATATTGGCCTTTGCTATGGAAAGCCTAGGGAATTATTTAATGTGAGGATGAAAAAAACCCTGAAAAATTATATTTTCTTTTTTTTTGTTTTTCTTAAGAAACCACCTGCAATTGCTGTTCGACCTGGATCAACACTAATTCCAATTAATAACATTAATCATGTCCCTGAACGTGATGATGATTATGGATACGAGTGCCTAGAAGGGAAGGACTGTGCTAGCTTCTTCTGTTGTTTTGAAGACTGCCGCACAGGATCTTGGAGAGAAGGAAGGATACACATCCGTATTGCAAAAATTGACTCCTATTCGCGAATCTTCTTCCCAACTGCCTTTGCGTTGTTCAATCTTGTTTACTGGATTGGCTATCTTTATCTATAAATTTCAGAGGTTGGACAAACTCAGAATGAAACGCTAATTGAACAGTCATTAACACTTTTCAGTGAGCCGTCAAAGATTAAAGCTGGTCCAAAATGACTCAAATTGTTGGGGTGCTTTAAAAATTTGAAACAATGAGAGGAAGTATGGTGATGTAGTCTCCCTCTTGTGATCAGCTACAGAACTGAGAATGGTATTTTGAAGAGAAAATTCAAAAACAAATGTCCCTAAGATTTAACTTGCCTGAACATGCACCTGGTTTTGTCCAGCTTTATCAAAATGCAGAGTCAAGAGGCTATGTTATTTAGCTGGGCAGTTCTACATAAGCTTTCAACTTTAATCCTCAATGATAATGCAGATGAGTTTTGTAGCATCTCTTACACCTTTACAAAGAAAGCCTTAATAAAATGGGATTAGTTATTCTCATCCATTTCATCTATAAGGTGATGATTTTATTAATCCCTGATTTTAAAAAGTTGAAATGGAACATTTCTATTTTTCAGCTCACCACTTGTTCTCTGCTGTACATTGAAAAGAGTGATTAAGTCATAATTAATCACATTCAGATTTATACAGAATGCAGAGATTAGAGCAGCAAGAAGTGGGTAGATCACAAAAAAACCCAAGGCTAATTCTGAGCTTGTCTTATCCTGACCGTTGATACAGGCTTTTGGCTTTCAGCCTTCGTGACATTTATGTCTGTGCTCCATCTGCCGTGACTTTCCCTGTTGTGAGTTCCCCAAAGTTCTGCAAGAGGGCTACAGCTTTCAAAACTTCCTGCCCAGCTGCCGTTGCTTGCCCATTTCATGGAAACCAGGCTGACGCTGGCTGACTGGGATTCTGGCCGTTAAGTGTGATGCTCTTCACATCCTCCCCGTTCCCTTCTCCTCTGTCCGATCCACACCCATGGCCAGAGAAAAAGTCATAGCTCTACATTGGGTGGAATTTGTCTGACCAGTTTTGAAAGCATGTGACAGTGCTATAGTCGTGGTATTCGAAGCCACCATGTTGCACCCGCAGCCCGAAGAGTGCAGCGTGTTACCTACCCCGCTTTGCAGGCAGTGCGACGTTGGAGATTGGGCTTCTTCCTGCACGTGCTGCTCACTGAGCCAAAGGCAAATCGCACGGGTTTACTGAACCGGTGCTACGGATTGCTGTGTAACCACCTCCTCCGTGTTGGTTTGTTTCTAACGGAGAAGCCCTGTTACCGGGGGGAGGAGGGGGAAGTAAAAATCATCCTTGTGCATTGCAGATCCTTCTCCAGGGTGGTATGTGGCCCCCAAAAACCACAGCACCAGTTCTCCAGCCTTTCTGTGGTCAGAGCTGCCGTTCACCTCGGTAGCAATTCTTCGGCAGTAGCCTTTCTGGACTGACTTCTCTGTATTGACTGTTGCTGGCTGGCAGTATGTAGTAACCCATTTGTATTTTCAAATCCGTTGTCTTTGTTACAAAAAATGCAGTCTTTCCTCCTTTCTGAAAAAGAAACTGGTCTCAAGTGAGCTTGCAAAAATCGCTGTAAAATTAAGATATGCATTAAGTAAAAGTCGGAATTACACAGAAGGCCTTGCAGATCTTTAAAGAGGATTAATGGGATTAGCATTTGGCTGTAGGTAAGGATGTTCAGTACTGGAGATAAAGACATGATTAATGGCTAATAACAGAAAATGATACATGAAGGACCCTCTCCCCCCTGCAGTATTTCTGTTGAATGTGCTCCCTCCTCTGAATTTCTCAGAAAAGATTAATGTATTTTCATATTCTAGCTGGTACCAGACGTAATAAGGTATGATATGCAACACACATTTCAGATGAAATGTTGCCGCAGTGCTCAGCCCTGAAGTTGAATAGAGAATGCCAGAGTATGTGCAGTGGTTCTGGAAGAAAGCAGGACAGAAAATATCCCAATTTATTGCAAACTTTATTTCGGTATTTAGCTGATGAAATATGAAAGCGGCTGAGAGAACCTGAAAACCTGCTGTTGAGGTTGGCTGGCATTATTTGTTGCGCGACCTTCCTGAGCACCAGATTCTTCCAACCGTTGGGCTGAGCGTAGAAGTGCGGCATCTTTAAAAAGTGATCTGCTATAATTTTTTTTTTTTTTAGAGTCTCATTTTCAGATGATGTTTGGTACAATGGAAACGTGTCGGTTTTCATTCCGTAGTGCAGTTTAATGCTCTTTGGCAGCACACTGAAAGCATTCCTCTGTAGGAGGGATGGAGGTGCCTTCGGCAGCAGAACGTTGGATGTGTACTTGGAAAGCAGCCGATTCCCGGTACAATACAAGGCCCGGATTTGGTGAGCTCACGAGTTTCATTAATTCACCTTTAAACAAAAGGAACTTGAAAGAACTTGGCACTAATGAGAGGAAATACAAATTTCACAGCCTGCTTTCCTCTGGCACATCTAGTTAGCTTTTCCTTCTCATGTGGTGGTCAGTTGCCAGTCAGCCTCCAGTGACTGAACAGGAGAGCAGAAGACATCCTGCACTGGCAAGGGATGGAGAAGTCTTTCATCTCGAATTTCTATGAAACGATGTGATGGAGTATTGAAGCTATTGAATGTTACGGCTCTTTGGCTTGCGGATACACTGGCTTCTGTCTGCTGACAGACTTCTCTGTGTACTTCATTTGTTTCTGATGACATAATTTTAGTTTCCCATAGTACTGTGAGCGCAAATAGAAATGGGAATGCACTGTAACATGGTGTGTAATAAATGTGTTATTTTAGTCCTATGTGTTTTCTTTCTAAGCTGCATGTAAATTCTTGATTCCAAGAAATCTAAATGATATACAAACAAATGGCAAGAAACAGAGACTAGAATTACTTGGGCTTAGATGCTGCGATCATTTTTCAAACCTACCTGGGCAGAAGCTCAGTCACTGATAGCTGGAATCACAGTATTTGAAGTCCTGTTATTCTGACCACTACTGCTTAAGCACATTCTTAAACCCATTCCTAATCAGTACTATAATTAGATCAGAATTCAGGAAAGCGTGTGCTTGTGTACTTGTCACAGAGAGTGATGCTGTCCTGAATTGATGCCATTAGCGCATGCTTAATTTGCACTAATTTCAGTAATGAGTGTTCAGTAGCTCAAATGATTGAACATTAAGGGTGTGAGCCAGAGCCTCTTCAGTAAGAAGTTTTGCCACTGAAAGAGAGGGACCCAGGAGGAGAAATTGCCAGAAAGGCAGAGAGGTGAAAGTCTGGGGAAGCTGTTTTATACTGCACCGATCTTAGGCAAGTCCTGAGATGTATTTTTCAAAAAAAGAGACTTTTCCTTGGTATTTCTGTACAGTCTTCGCCACTTGTCGGTTTTAGTAGTGAGTACAACTCTGTGTGTTATTTTTTTGGTAGGGTTTTGTCTATGATTGTACCTCACTGATCTTCAGTGCATGTCTTCCGTCTCTGAACCGGTCTGTTTTATGTGGTGGCAGTGCAACCAAAGCATGAGTGCCGGGTAAAGTATTTTATATTTACATGTTGATGTGCTTCAAAGGCTTTAACCTTACCCAGTTTTCTGACATTCAGAGACGTAGGATTGTGTAAGGAGAGTGACCTCCAACGTGGTTTTTAGAATTTCCTGTTGCTTACTTGCTATGGTAGTAAAAGATTTGTTTAAAATTGGTGTATGAACTGTGCTTTCTAATTTATGAACATCCTTGACCTTTGAATTGAAAGCCCAACGGGAGGAATCTGGATTTAAATATCTGTCTGCTGAAAGTAAGATACGTTTTGTTCATCAGTCATCTTTTCAGTTTACTGTTTCCAAATTCCTGAGAATTAGTGCAACTATACGTAACTTAAATTCCTTTAAATAGTTGTTCATATATATTTTTTTAATTCATTGTCTTTTCAGTTATAAGTGATCTTTTATGTTTGTGAAATAATACTGTATTTTGTAGTCGTTATAATAGATACAGAGGCTAGAAACTAGCGTCGAATTCTTCAGCTAAAGAATAGAAGGCCGGGAATTAGAAAGAATTTCTGTGCTTCCTTTTCTGAAAAAGCTCAGTGAACGTCCACGTGCCCTGATGAATGCTCTCTGGGGCAGACTGATGCGTGGGGAGAGGCAGAATATTCTCTGAGCTTTAGAAAAGGCCCCTGCCTTGGCTCATCCCGTGAGCGCTACCCAAGCGGTTCAAGTCAAGGAGAGGAGTAGACCTGTCCTTGCTGCCTCAGTCGCCTCTTGCTTCTGCTTCACTTGTTCCAGCAGCAGCAGTTGCAGAGCCGTGTTGCCATATGAATCAAAACCTGAAAGGTTATATTGATTTTACTCTTTTGCAAGCTGATGTTTCAGCCAGATGGGTGGGATCATCTGATGCAACGTGCAAGACTGGGGCCGTTTGTTCTGGTCCAAGATGGGTGACGGGAGCTTGCAGCTGGAGGAAGAGGGCTGGCTTCTTCCAACGGGCGCGTTCCGTTCCGCCGAGAATCTGCGCCGAAAACCGGTGTGGGAGAGGGGAAAAATGGGGAGAAAAGGTCCTGGTGGGAAGCAGTTCCAGAATCCAGTGTCACGGATCTGATTGACTGATATTTAGTTAATAGGCTTCTCACTGACATCTGTGATAATGCTCTTCATTTCCCTGCAACATAATTAAATCTCTTTTTTTTTTCATTAAAAAAGAACAACAACAAAACTCTGCATCTCCTGTGCATCAGTTACAGATGGAATGAACAACAGACAGTTATCTTGAGTGATCAGTCTGGTGAAATGTCAGACAGAATATCAGAAATCAGGTGAAATCAGAAACAGGTTCATTTTTTTCTCCTTTTATTATCAATGATAAGGCTATTTTAAAAATTGTTCAGGATTAATTAGCACAATAGACACTGGGAAAGAGCTAGTACCCGGGTATCTACACCACTGTTAGTGCCCTTGTGGGCTACAACATTTGGGAATGGAGACCTGACCCAAGGTGTGTTCAGTCCTTGAGTCCTGCTCTCCTTCACGGAGTGGGAAGGGTGGGTTGTCATCTCGTCAGGCGTGAACCAGGGTAGCT